GTTGTCAGTGGTCCATGAAAGGAACTGTTCCACGTCCTGTTTTTTTTTTCTTGTTTTTGTTGTTTTTTATGTCTTTTCCTACAGAGTTCCAGAGCCATGTTTGAGAACAGTCACATCTGGCAGATTCATGTCACAATGATTAATATGATTGCTTTGCTTTTCCTTTTGACTTGCGAGCGTGTACTTGAACTCCGCAGCCTAGACAGTATTATCCCAAGCAGCTCTCTGACGTCTTTTGATATCTGTGCCATGTTTCTACTCCCCGTGTGGCAACCCGAAACGTCGAAGCCGCCCTTTTTAAATATTTTAAAACGCACAACACTCTTTCTCAGTTGCCTCACCTGCATGCATCCTGCCACCACTGTTGGGTACTTCTCCATCCAGAGAACCGCATAGATGTTATTTGTATGTTTTCCCCCCTCATCGTGTTCTCGCGCCGTTTACAGTAGGATGCGCAAAACTATCCGAAATCACCACTTTTAGTGCAGTTGGTGGCAACATTTGCTCAGAACAACAACAAAAAAAAGCCAACAAAAAAAGCGACTAGTCAGCTTTATGGTCTTTTTAGATGTGAAAACAGCATATAGCACATTAACTCAGCACAGATGGCCTGTGCTGCTTGTCTATACGAGTACTCGAACTGCGTCAGGTTGCTCTTGCTTGTGTGGATTTTTTTTTTTTTAATTTTTAAAAAATTTGCATACCGGGGGGGGTGGGGATGGGGAGGGGGACGATGCTGTAACTGATAACTCCGTATTACTGAATGTGAATATTGTTGATGAATCTATAAGTGGCTGTAATGATGTTTATCTGACATGCCATCATTTCAGTGATGTATCTGCATAAGTCATGCAAAACGAAGCAGGGTAACCGGATTGGTATGTCGATGTTGTAGTTTGCAGAAATTCACAAACCACCAACTTTCCGAACAGCAGACGGGATTGCGGCGTCGCCACTGATACGAGCAGAATCCGCAGACTCCTGTCAATGAAACGATTCCTTTGTGCCACACATGGGTACTGCTGCCACTCATATACCAGTCACAGTGCAACACGCTGTGCATCCGCCCTACCAACTTATCAGCACATATCCAGCATCTGTTGTAACCATGAGTTAGATCCTTTGGTTTTTGTGGCCTTATATTCCGATTGATTTCCTCTCACAGAGTTTGGTTTCATACTTACCAGTAAAGAATGATTTATTCCTTATTGCCCTCTAACGGCAGGTTTCGCACCACAGCTCACTATGGTAAGGCAAAGATTTCGTCGTATAATGTGTTCTTTTGATTTTTGCCCGTATACTTGATTCATATTTGGTGGTAGATTTCTTCAGTTCTCTTTGGGGTTTAAATGAACTTTGATGTAGACTGTGTCTGTGAAACAATCAGTGCAGAGAAATAAAAGATTCTGATGATTCATTCTGTACCGTTATAGTTACACAAGTAGATTTAAAAAAAAATGTTGAAGACCATGTTTCAATGCTGAATGCATGGAGACATCTGTATGTGATGTAAGAAACCAAAATCCTGCTGTATTACGAATAAACCCATTTTCTGAATGATCTGTCTCATCAGCTGGGAGCGGGAACTAATAGGCTTCATTGCCACATACGTACAGCTTCTTCTTCTTGTTTTGGCTGCTTACACAGCACCATTTCACCCTGGCATTTTCCTTTGTCACACCAACTCTTCTGCACATCCATGAATCTTAGCTGTCTTTGTTTTTTTTTTCTCTGGCAGCTTCATAGTCAACATGCTTTGTCCAGTACATTCACAATCCCCGTCTCTGACTTTGTTTCCAAGCTGCTCAACCTGACCTGTCCCTCTGATGTTCCAATCCTGTCCATTATGGTCACTCCTAGTAAAAATCTTATCATCTTCAACTCAACTTTCAGTCCTTTTCTCAGTATCACCGTCTGTAAACCGTACATGGCAGCAGGTCTCACTACCACCTTGTAAACTACTTCCTCTCTTGCTGCTATTCCTCTGTCACAAATCACCCCTGACAGTCGTCTCCACCCTACTCCACCCTGCCTGCACTCTCTTCTCATTCTGCACTCACCTGTCTTGTGCACTGTCCATTATCTTGGATTGTTGACCACGGTATTTCAACTCCTCCACTTCATTACACTTCACTGTTACACCTGCCTCTATGTCTACGTGACAAATGTCTTGCTGTGACAGGCTCCAACCAGGAGAGGACACTGTTCCACAATGATATCTGTTCGGTCAAAGAGGTCCCAAAGCATTAATCAAATCCATTAAAAATTGAAAGGTTTATTTGTCCTCTGAGACACCCCTGCTGAACAACATGCAGTAGCTGACATGATTTTAATTGTTCATCTCAGGCAAGATCGGTTCAATCTTATCCAAAAGAAATAGAGATGGTCATAAGTGCGTCCATTTCCTCTAAATCAGACTATTGCTACTCTTTAAACACATGCTTGAGCCAGCAAGAGCTACTTAGATTAACGCTTAAGTGTGCTGCAGCTGGACTCCTCAGAAATAGATATATATGCATAACTCATACATCACAAAACATATGGAATAATTCCTAAATCTGCGGTGAAAGGGGAAATATACTGTCATGTGAAAAAGGAAGTCCACCGTTTGTAGAGCCACCTTCAGCAGCCATAAGTCAACGTAACTGTTTTCTGTAATCAGGGTCTCGTTTTGTCGTAGAGCAATTTCAGCCCACTCTTCTTCTTTTTTTTTAATTTAAATTTTCAGTCCATTGAGGTTTGCAGGCATTCATTTATGCACAGTGTTGTAAAGGCTCACCTTTCAGCACATTCACTTGACCAGATGCACCTTGTTTCTTTTCCTCACCTTTGATTGGGTGTGGTGCTTGCCCTTAATTGCACTCACCTGTCACTCGTTATATAAGGACTGCAGTCACCTACAGCTCACTCTTTCTTCACTCCCACATGGGGCAGCAGCTGAGGTGAGTTTCTGTTTGAGTCTCCTGAGTTTATGTATTATTTTGAGTTACTTAAATCATATTTTATTTCCTTTCAGAGATGGCAGTCCATGTGTCTTTCCTTTACTGATTTGAGAATAAAAGGAGAACCCTGTGAATGATTGATGACTGCTTATTTTCATTCTAATCGGATGAGCCCATGATGATGACTACTTAAATCCTGAGCCTTCCTCCAGAACACACAGCTCCCTTATTTTCAGGCATTCTGTTGTAGATTTATTGCTGTCCTTGCAATCATTGTCCTATTGTGTGATTTACATGTTAGACAGTCTCACTGGCCTCTAAAATACTTTGGTACACATGGGAGTTCATGGTGGACTCAATGACTGCAAAGTGTCCAAGTCCTGTGGCTGCAAAACAAGCCCAAATCATCACCCCTCCACCACTGTGTTTGACTCTTGGTATGAGGCGCTTGTACTGATCCTGTGGTTTTTGCCAAACAGAGCACTGTGTATTATGCCCAAACATCTTCACTCCAAAGGGATGTTTGAGAGGTCTTGTGGTTTATTTAGATGCAACTTGATGCTAACCCGAGCCCTGCTGCCATGTTCTTTATCCTAGCAACCTTTCCAAACAACCTCTCAGCCCGTGTCTAACTGTAGTTTCATATCTAACATGCTAGCTGAGTCTTGTAGAGTTTGAGACGTGGCTCTTGGGTTCCTTGCACCCACTTACCTTTCTGAACTTTTAACTATGCATATGCCCAATGACAAATATTGACATATGGAAAAAGTGCATATTTAGGAGCTGAACATTTTAGTGGTGTGTACAAAACAGTTTAATGCACTTTTTCAAGGTTTGCATCAGGTGCAAAATGAGTCCATTTACTTTCATTACTCTCAGCTTTGCCCTGAAGCACCAACATACTTCAGTTACACTTCAGTAGCTTTCTGTGAGATTTTTCTTTGGTAAAACAGCCTGAGAGTAGAGTGTTAATTTGAGCATCAGGTTCCATTAAAGATGTTAAAGTCTTTTAATGTTTCTCTGAACTTCTGTTCCTAAGCAGGCAGCTTCTGTGAGGAGAAAAAGGAAGGAAATGCTTTTGATAATGATTCCTGTCATTGGTAAAACATTAACCATTTGTTTTTGAGTTTCCTTCTTACCTTTAGGCAGGGGGGAGAAAGAGAGGTTATACATGTGAAGAAAAAACAAACTTGCATCAATCAGTGTGTCAGTCTTTGTCTTCCACTGAAGTTATTTTGCATGGCAGTGTGCATGACATGAACTGGAGGTTCAGGCAGAGCCAGTTTCCACAGAGCTGTTTAGCTCGCTCATCCACTGTAACTGGTACACGGTGTTTGTGTGAAGATAAACAAGATGACAACAGATATGTTTTTGCTTTTTGTTACAATACCTCACATTAGTTTGGTTTAAACGTGCAGCTTGACTTACTCCCCTGTACTGAAACTATTCAAGAACTGCCTTTGTTATACAAGCATTTAACAAACTTTGCAAGGAGTCCCAAGTACAACTGTAAAATCACGCAGGAGCAATGATATGATGCAGCAATAAAAAAAAAAAAGAAGCAATCGTACATTTTCAGACTTTGAGGAGGTCAAAGTCCTGTTATCAAGAAAACAGATGGAAGAAACATGCCATCAGATCATATGTGGAACATGCAAAGAAGCAGAGAACAAACTGAAGACGTCAATCTAAGCATTTGTTGTTTTCTGTAGCAAAGGAATATAATGGGAGGGAGTGACTTGCATGCACTGACTGTAATAATAAAGCTATTTACACGCGCAGGAAAACAAGACGGATAAATAAGGGCTGAATTTTACGTGATTTAACGAATGATAAAAACAACACAAACTTGTTTGCCTGAATAATGTTGGGGACTTTACCCACTCAAAGTCTAGCTACATTTAATCACTTTACAAATTATGATAACAGCAGACACACACACACGTTTTGCTCCCGCCCACAAAAATCAGTGCTAGAGGAAAACAGCCGCTCCCGCTACTGATTGGCTCCGCGGTGCGCTCCAATCACCGCGATGTAGTGACTCTTCTCCACACAAACCCGAGCGGTCGACTAGTAAGGTTGTGACAAATGTAGCGAAAACACAAACAGGTTTTGTTTGGTTTTGTTTTTCTAACTGGATGTACTCCTGTTCGTGAAGACTAGAACAAGTTGAAGCAGAGGATTAAGAAAACGACAGCCGAGTAGTGGTCTAAATGGTCAGACTCGGAAGCAACGAGGGGATGTGGAACGACACAAGGACACATTTCTTCTCTATAAATACGATGGTGATGTTTATTTGATTCGACGCCAGCCTGGAGATTTGAATAAGAATGAAGGTCCTTGTGAAGAAGATGCAGCAGGCGCTCTACGTCCTGCTGCCGTGTGTACTCCAGCTCTGCTGCGCTCAGACTCAAGGAGGTGGGTATAAACACCCGCACACACATATTCACACACGTTTATCTTTATCATTAGCCTGGGAGAGGAACGATGAATACAGTGGCGGTCCTAGGCTGTTTGGAACCCTGGGTGAACACTCCCCCCCACACACACACACAATAATTAATGTTATCTTGTTGTATCCCTGTTGTGGTCAGTGCTATCCTCTATGTTGTTGCATGCTGGGGGCAGCAGGTTGAGGGTCACAGATCCCAACAGACTAAATAAACTGATCCATAAGGCCAGTAATGTTGTGGGGATGGAGCTGGACTCTGTTAGGGTGGTGTCTGAGAGGCAGATGTTGTCCAAGATATGGATAATACCTCCCACCCATTCCATGACGTCCTGGCTACTCACAGGAGCACGCTCAGTGAGCGACTGAGTTTACCAAAAAGCGCCACTGAACGACACAGGAAATCATTCCTGCCCGTGGCCATCTCCCTGTACAATTCCTCCATCTAATACACTGTAAACACTGCAATAGTTACACCCTTTTTATACACGCTCTTTTTTACTCTGTAATATTCTTGTCATATTTTTTTTTATATTTATTTCTAATCACCAATTTTAATCCTTGATATTTAAAACTGAGTGATCTGTATACAGGGCTGGACTGGGACAAAAAATCGGCCCGGGCATTTTGACTAGAGACCGGCCCACCAGGTATTATACGAAAAAACATTAAGCCTTTGAATGAAAACGAACGCTGTTGTGACAGTGATGTACGCTGTCTTATTGGTCTATGTATGATTTCTATACGTTGTAAATCAGATAAAAACTTTGGTTGTAAGATTCAGATAATTATTTAATAAAAGCGAGATATTTTAAATGAGAATAAGAAAGAAAAGTATTTCTTTGTGCCCCTCTCCCTGTTAATTCCCTACCTGGCCCCTGGCAAAACTTTGCTAGACCCGCCCCTGCACAGTTACCAGATGTCAGCTACACAGAAAGGATCCTGGGGTTATTTGTCTCTCAGAAACAGTTCATAACTTCCCTTCAACTCATCCATGTCACCTAAAAGGTAAACCTGTTTCTCCATCACCTGTTCAGCTCTGATGATTCAATAAGGAAATCTCCTGGTTTCATCTTCATGTTTCCCTCTCACCAGATAACCAAACCGACATAATGACCAGCAGCTTTTACAGCTGTGGTTCCAGCAAACATCAGCTGATACTAGAAATTAATATGAAATAAATTCTAACAACAGCTGATCAAGCTTAAACATGCTGCTGTTGTTTAGCGCGACAACCGCTGGTTTCTCCTTTCTGGCGCAAAGTGGGCGATAAACAAGCGAGAGAGAAAAGCCGATCAGCTGATTATTGATCAGTTTCACGATTGAATGAGAGAAGAGACAACTGACAGCGTAAAGACAGAGAAAAACTCCAGCTTTGTGTCTTTTTCTATTCTAGCTGAAGTCCAGGACAAACTGCGTTCCTTTTCACCTCAATACGAAACGCGTAATATTTTCTCTGAATACGGAACAATTCTGTTTTTTAGGGGACAGTTGGCAACTCTAGTAACTAACCTTATGAATAAAATAAAGTTCACTATCAGTAACATAGCACCATAACCACCCAGCTGTAGAAACTCCGTCATGCTAGCTAGCACGCAGTACAAGTTATTGTAACTGACGGTAAAAAGTCAGCACAACGAAAACAAACTCCACCTAAACTTAGTTTATATCTGACCCAGATAGACTGCAGGTCATAACTTCTTACCTGAAGTTCAGTTCACCTGACACTCGGACCGGCGGCCGCCTCGGGTCTCTCCTCCTCCTGCCTCACCTTTCCCTCATCCACCTGGCCTCTTGTAGCAGCTCCGCCATAGCCACCACCAAACAACTGAGTTGTTTTTACACATCTGTCAGCATCTGGCCAATTCATCACCTTTCATTGTTTATACTGTTACAAAAAAATAAATAAAATCATCGGCCCATAAAAACCAGAAATCACCATGGGCCCACTGGACAAATGCCCGGTATGCCCGTGGCCAGTCCAGCTATGTCTGTATATATTAGTGCTATTTCTTAGATGTGTAAAATCTGTAACATCATGTATTGTTTGGAGTGTAGTCTGTTACTGTTACTATTTTTACAATTTCTTCCTGGACCAACTGTAACCCACATAATGTCCTTAGGGATTAATAAAGTGTTCTGATTCTGATTGTTTCAGGATGACCTGCCATTATCCAATGACACATCTGCTTACCTGTATCTTTTGCTCGTTTCTCCTCTTCTTCTTTGCTCTTTTTTTTCTAAACTGAGCACCTGATGGGTTAGAAGTTTTCTTGTCCATCTTCCATTGGTTTGAATTTTGCACTCCAGTATGACCCATCCCCTAACCCAAGGTTCACAACAACATAACCTAATAAATCTACACCTTAGTTCACAGATTTGCTTTGTCTGGGTTTATTTCTGGGATTTCACACAACCCAGGATTCAAATCATGAATACATAATGGGCTTGGATTTACAACATTATGAATGAAATGTGCTCTATTCGGAAGCAGCCGCCCCCCTCCTCTTTCGACGGGTTGTGTGAGACTTTAAATCATCAAACTGTAAATTATAAATTTTAAATTGTTATTGATCCGTTTACCCCTGGTCCTAAAGTGTATATTTATTTTCTTAATCTTTTTATATTTATTGTTTGTTTAATTGCACTTCTGCAACTGGGGCCTCGTCGTCTCGTCTCGCTATATACTGGACTGTATATAGCGGAGATGACAATAAAGTTTACATTGACTTCAGCACAGCAGCAAGCAGGCGCACAGAGGGCTCTCGCGCTCACTTGCAAATTATAAGTCTGTATCATAAAGTATAGTGTTTTCGTGTTTGTTGGTTTGTTTTTAGTTTGTTTTATTTTGCGAGCAGGGCCCTATTTCAGGAAGCCGGTTTAGAAAACTCAGAGTGAAAAACGATACTCAGGGTTGAGTAACCCCGAACTGTCCAACTCGGAATATTCGGTTTCAGAAAGGCTGATAACAAGTAGTTCAGTCAACGCGGAGTTGCTTTAACCCCAAGTTAAACGCGCGCACGAGGATACATAAAGCCCTGATTAGTGGAGCACAGATTAAGCGAGTCACCATGGAGACGGAGGGAAAGAAGGCGCGGTCAATGTATTTTACAGCGCTTGAGGCCGAAATTCTGATGGCAGCATATGCCGATAACATGCAAATTTCGCGGAAAAAAGTAACACAGCCTCAGCTGCAAAAGAAAGGGAGCATGCATGGCAAAACATAGCCGACAGAGTCAATGCGTGAGTGTTAATTTAAACATTGATCTAGGGATTTCCACCCATTCAACACGTTATTTTATTTTATTTTATTTTATTTTTTTTATTTCATACATTTTATTTTGTGATGTGATTTGAGCGCAGGTGCAACCCAACAGGCCCCCAACGTTCCTGGCAGCAAGTAAAAATGAAATATAAAAATATAGTCCAAACAGGTAAGGTGTAATTGTATTACGAGCCATAGTGCTTGGTCTGTTTGTCCGATGTAAATCAATTGCAGTTAGAGGCTACATTAATTTCCCCTCTGTAAGCACTTATTGAAATTATCTGAGCACATTACAAGTACATATTTGCTTACTCTGTATGCTCAAATGTGACCCGTTATAGCCAACAGAAAAAAAAGCGGAGGCCCGAAAAACAGGTGGAGGTCGTCCACCACCACCACTCACAGAGGCTGAGCAGTTGGCTTCCATATTTGTGATAATGTTGGCAGCATCACATATGATCTTCACAGTGCAGAGAACACAAATTAGCATCCATTACTATAATGGAATTATTTGTTAGTTTGAAATGCTACAGGGAACTATGTACCTGTACATTAATGCTGTGGAAAGACTTCCTGTTCACATAGTCTCCTTCATTTACTGAAGGAGCAATGATTGGAATGTGAGTGCCATCTATACACGCCTGGGAACCGTGAAAATAAATGTAAAATTTAAGTAGTAGTTCAAGTATCACCACATCATAAATTAAGTTTTGGTCATCCTGATACCTGCAATTTTGTGGAATCCCTCTTTGATAAATCTTGTGGGTCTATGACCGGGGAACACCACAAACGAGTACAGGAGACGTTTCAGTGCAACTGTAACATTCCTGACTGCCCGACAGACGGTAGCCTTGGAAACGTGCTCAGCGTCACCAATATTATACAGAAAGCTCCCGTTTGCAAAAAACCGAAGTGCAATACAAATAATATGTACAGAACTGAGAGAATGTCCACGATGTGTCACATGAGCAATATTAAGCCTGAGGATGTTATTCAAATAAATTATAGATTGTGCTGAAAAACGGTAACGTTCACACAGGAAATCATCAGGAAATGATAAAATGTCCGAACGCGCTCTAATCACTCTCTCCCGGCGGAGAGCTCTGTGGAGAATTTGGGCTTCAACATCTACTGGCTCTTCAAGGAAGGAGCACGCCATGTCTGACACTTCCTACAGTCAGGTTTCCGACAAAGAGGCGGAGAACGTCAGGGTTAGTTGTAGTAAACCTGCTAGGGGGCAGGTTAGCTTCACGGAGTGTGTCGTCATAGTAACTCACTCAGAATTAATCTAAACTTGCTTTGTGAAACCGAAAACCCAGAGTTTCCGTTAACTCGGGATATACTTACTCAGAGTTTGCACTAAACCGGCTTCCTGAAATAGGGCCCAGGGGTCCATTCTTCGTATACCTCGCTTACTACATCCAAGATCAAATCATCGCGCCAACTTTGAGCTCGCTATTCCGGTTCTCCGAACACACCTGTTGTTGACGATTATTAGTATAGCTGGATGAAGTAATGTGAGATCACTGGGTGGCTTAACAGGGGCTACGCATCGATAGTAGAAACATTGATCGGCAACCCTTTGATTGGTCGGCGAAAATGTCGAAGGAGCGCGCTCAGTATTTTCGGCAGCAGAGCAAGAACTCATGATTGAGGGATTTCAGGAGTTTCAGAGTTTAATTAAAACGCAAGGGAACACTGCAAAGGCTGCAAAGGCAAGGAGAGAGGGCTGGCAGAAAGTTGCTGACAAATTAAACTCGTAAGTAATTTAATAATAATAATGGTAAATGGCCTGCATTTGTATAGCGCTTTTCTAGTCCCTAAGGACCCCAAAGCGCTACATTCAGTCATTCACCCATTCACACACACATTCACACACTGGCGATGGCAAGCTACATTGTAGCCACAGCTACCCTGGGGTGCACTGACAGAGGCGAATAATAATGGATTGGAGTTATATAGCGCTTTTCAAGGCACCCAAAGCGCTTTACAATGCCACTATTCATTCACTCTCACATTCACACACTGGTGGAGGCAAGCTACGGTTGTAGCCACAGCTGCCCTGGGGCAGACTGACAGAAGCCAGGCTGCCATATCGCGCCATCGGCCCCTCTGGCCAGCACCAGTAGGCGGTAGGGTAAATTTATTATATTACATTATATCCTCTTTCACATTAGAGCCACAACAGGACCCACTAGAACATGGGAACAAGTAAAGGTGAAATATAAGAATATTCTACAGAATGGTACTATTTATCACTAATATTGCTTTTAGTCTCTTGAAAAGAGACCCTGAAATAATCTGTTTGTTTATCAGAATCAGAAACTTTATTGTCATTGTCACGAGAACAACGAAATGAAGAATGGTCCCCGATCATTGCATCATCCCTGGCAATATCAAAATATAAATAAAACAATAAAATTCAATAAATAAAATAGATGGAATACTTAAAATACTAATAAGATGTAACAGTAAAACATTCACATACATTCCCACACACATGCTATAACAGCAACCAAGAAAAGGGCAGAGCACAAAAAGACAGGTGGTGGTCCTGCACCCCCCTCGTCAACAAGTTGGTTAAGTAAATAATACCCTCACGGGAAAATCGATATCTCTCTATGAGCACACTGTTGCGCTGAGCTAAAGGATCCTGTCTATCCCGCAATATACGCTGAATTCTGAAAACTCTCCTTATCAATCTTGCACCTTCCGCAATGGGTGGCTCGCGTAAACGGACAGGACATGGCTGCGACAGACTTCCCAAATCCACCTTCGCTTTTATAGCCGTGGTCTCTCATCTTGATTACACAAAGTAATTTACTATTACTACTCTAAAATATGAATTACATCTGAAATAATCAAATACATGAAATAGAATGATTAATAGTACATTTCCCTTTTTTTAGGAAATGGCCTGTATGTATCTGTATGAAATCAATAAAAGAATCAAATACTGCATTATCTTTAGTTACATTGATAATATTTATTTATGGAAAAACAGTGGTGGAATACGCTGTTGCTTTCGTATAAATGAAGCGGACATACCTGAGTGGCCGCGATCTAATCCTGTTTACATAAAGTAAACCTGCTCCCGAGCAGGTTTACGCTTACAGCTCTGTTGCTATGACAGCAAGTCCCGGATGAGCTTCGGAGAACCGAACGATCAAAGATAACGCGAAATCGTCAACAATCTAATCCAGCTAACTTACTTAGCGAGGTACGAAGAACGGGCCCCTGGTTATTAAATGCCGCTCCAGCCAGCCAGAGAATCCCCCGTCGCCCCGCCCCTCTCCTCCCTGTGCCGCAAGCAGCAGGCACACCTCGCAAACTGAGGGCGCCCTTACTCCCACCGATCGGTGCCTATGACATCCCCAAAATGCGCTGGCATGATGTTTTCTTTTCTTTTCTTTTCTTTCCTTTTCTTTTCTTTCGTCCTTTTTTTTTTTTGGCCGATGCCCGTGATGCTGCCCCCACCACGATGCCGCCCTGGGCAACCGCCCATGTCGCCCTTATCAAAAATCACTACTGTCTGTGGGGTTTTTTTTTTTATAGTTTAAAAACGGCTCTTAAACTTGCAAGTTGATCTTTAAAATCAAGCCAGAAAGGTGTGAACAGATGCCTAGATACAGATATCCAAGAAACCAAGTAGCTGTGTGGTGTCTGTTTGTCAAACTGAAGGCTTCCACTTTCTTTTCTGATAGGAGCCAGTTTGGTCTATCTGAAGGTAGTGGCACGCAGCGCTGGCACTACGGTTTCATAAGTTAGTGTTTTGGGATTGTACCCTGTAACCAGATTGTAGACTGTAACCAGTGTTGAGGTCATTACCCAAAAAAAAGTAATGTATCGAACAATTTCACCTGAAACTCATTGACACATACACACACCAGTTAGCTATGTAAACCTATAGGCTAGAGTCAAACACACCAACACAGTGAGGAGACAGCCCAAAGCCACCCCAGAGTGATCTCCACAGCCACACAAACAGCCACATTTCTAAATATGTTTCTTTAATTGACAGAACATCTCTCTGCTGTGCTAACGTGAATGGAAAGTGTTTATTTTTAGCTCATTAATTAAACTGTTAAAACTGAACATGATAAACTAGGTAACGCAGTGTGCTGGAGGTTGTGGGAAATGGCTCGCTGTATACTGACGTGGATAGCCTTTTAAAAATCAGATGATTAATGAATTCGCTTTTTTTTTAAAAAAATCTAAGAACCTTTGCTTTTCGCAGTGACCGTTTGTGACGGCACCAAGAACTTTCTGAGCACGATGGGAAATTCAGAAATCATGTACAACTTGATGAAGACGAGGTACAATAACTGCGACATTGTGATAGGAAACCTCGAGATCACCATGATGGGCCACACCAGAGACTTCAACTTTCTGGAGGTGAGGTTGCAAACATTACGAACAACAAACCAAGAGAGAGTTTGACTACCATTTTCTCCAGCTAAACAAAAACAAAGCTGAGGTAATAGTCTTTGGCGCCAAAGAAAAATGATTACAGGTCACCAGAGAACTTCAATCTATACATCTAAAAACCACAAACCAGGCGAGAAATTTCGGCGTAGTGATGGATGCAGACCTAAACTTAGAAAAACACATTAAGACAATAACAAAATCAGCTTACTATCACCTCAAGAATATTTCAAGGATAAAAGATCTGATGTCTCAACAGGACCTGGAAAAACTAGTCCATGCATTCATCTTTAGTAGGCTTGATTACTGTAACAGCATCTTTACAGGTCTACCTAAAAAAAAAACCAGTCAGACAACTACAGCTCATTTAGAACTCTGCTGCTCGAGTCCTCACTAAGACCAAAAAAGTGGACCACATCAGTCCAGCTCTGAGGTCTTTACACTGGCTGCCTGTCCGTCAGAGCATAGACTTTAAAGTTCTGATGCTGGCCTATAAAGCTCTGAATGGTTTAGGACCAAAGTACATCAATGACCTCCTGACCCAGTATGAACCTTCCAGATCCCTCAGGTCATCTGGATCCGGTTTTTTATCAGTTCCCAGAGTCAGAACCAGACACGGAGAAGCTGCATTCAGCTTTTATGCTCCTTATATCTGGAACAAACTCCCAGAAAGCCTCAGATCAGCTGAAACACTCAGTTTATTTAAATCCAGGTTGAAGACTCACCTATTCTCAGCTGCATTTGAATAAAACACCAAATCCACACGTTTAAGCTTAAATTTCAAAACTTATATTTTAACTACTGATTTTATCTACTGTTCTGATTTTATCTGTTTTGATTTTATATACTGTTTTGTTTGTTTGTTTGTTTGTTAATTAGTTTGTTTGTTTGCTTGTTTTAATCAATTTTAAATCATGCTTTTTATTTGGTTTTGTTTCTAATGTCTCTGTAAAGCACTTTGAATCACCTTGTTGTTGAATTGTGCTATACAAATAAACTTGCCTTGGCTTGCCTTACCATTATTCCTTTCACTGCAAAGGTGTCACCGACAAGATGAGTAAGGATGTGAATCAACCATTTTCATTCGCCCAGGAGAACACAGAGTCAAAACATGTTGTGTTTGATCGCTCTCTGTAATGGATTTTGTCTCAAATCCAGAATGAGCTCATTTATGCCCCCACTCCTTTTGTGCTAGTCATGCCACTGAAGTCAGTGACTAACTCAGTAAGCAAACACGCCCCTGCTGATTTGTGACCCTGATAACAATTTGATTGAGCAGAAGAATTGACAAACTGCATTTTTCTCTTCCTTGTTCTTTTCTTTTGCCTTGCAGTCTATCAAGGAGGTGACAGGGTACATCCTTTTTGCTATCAATGAGTTCAGCCGCCTCCCACTGCACCACCTGCGCATCATCAGAGGCAGCACACTGTATGAGGACCAGTATGCCTTGGCTGTCATGGTCAACTATCAGAGGGATGGGGAGCATGGCCTTCAAGAACTGGGCCTGACTCACCTCACAGGTACACAGAGAGTCACTCATTTGATGTATAGAGTGTGTTTAACATGTGGGAGGCTGGATTGGAGCAGATAAGAGGTCAAGTTGGATGTGGCACTCTTACTGTTGGAGCTCCCACATCTACACAGTTCAGCCACACCTTTAGAATACCGGTTGTTGAAACGCAGCAGTGTGTGTGTTTGTGCCCGTGTGTGTGCTTGTGTGTATAGAAGTGATAGGAAGTCCCTGGAATGTACCATGTGCTCAACCGCTCAACTGCCAGTGTAACATGAGCTCCAGCACATGATACGTTTGCTGTGTAGTAAACAGAGAATGGCAGAGTTTGTTAGGATGAGGCACAGGCCTGTTCGGGCTTGCTTTCCTAACTGTACTGCCCCATTTACACCTATGTGTACCTTCTACAGAGATCCTCAGGGGAGGAGTGAAGATCATCCGGAATAAGTATCTGAGCTACGCCCCGCAGGTGAATTGGCTGGACATAGTGAAGGATGGAACAGCCCAAATTGTGATAGAGGACAATGGGCCTGAAAGTGAGTGCACTGGGTTGTAACTACACACATAGATATATCTGCATCTTGTTTTTAGGAGCCAGAAGTGAATCCGTTTGAGCCGACAGGTTAGAATCTTAAGCTAATACTAGCAAGCTTAATGTTAATGTGCATCCATAGACTGATGCATTGCATTACCCAGACACAAATACCTGCTAATTGTACTAACATACAAATAAAATAGTAGAATTTCACTCCACAAAATGATGCAATTAACCACACAGAAAACACCCAAAAACCTCCTTAAAAGGTGCAAACACGACAAACATGGTAAAGTGGACCATCTGAGGTGACACCTAGCAGACACGTGGTGGTCTAGCAGCCCCTGGTCTCAAACTTCAAAGCCTTAAAACAATTTAAACATGTGAGTCATTAAAAAAAATAAGCACAGAAGGTCAAATTATTTCTAAAGACAGAAACCATTTTTTGTTTAAGTCTGTAAACATGTTTACACTGGCGAAATGTCTTATTGGAGTTAACTCGCACTTGGATTCACCCTCAACTGGCCATTAGAGGAACTGCAGGCTTCATTTTTCAGCGCTGCAAGTTGCATCTTGTAACTTGTAGAGGTTTCATTTTTTTCTTCTGCTGAACTTTGGATTTAAAACAAAAAACAAAATCTGAACTTTTCCTTTAATTTAAGACTTTTGTTCTGGTTTTGTATTAAAATGCGGAAACTAATAAGAGTTTTTTTTTTTTTTATCTCAGAGCCTTGTCACAAAGCCTGTGGAGACGTGCCATGCTGGGGTCCAGGAAATGACACATGCCAGATCTGTGAGTCATATCAAGCACCTTTATCTTTAATGTCTTGATTTTCCACGCACTGGTTACCTTGTGAGATGTCTCACACATGAATCATGGCTGCTGCCAGAGTTGTTCATTTACATTGCACATTGTTAATAATATACGTAACTTCAAAGTTAAAAGTTTAATATGCATCTACAGTACAGTTTTAGTTTCACGCCAGGTTTTTACAAGCGTCGACTCTCTTACAGTGACAAAGACCGTGTGCGCCCCTCAGTGTAGTGGCCGCTGCTTTGGTAGAAACCCGAGCGAGTGCTGCCACGTTGAGTGTGCTGGAGGTTGCACTGGGCCCAAGGATACAGACTGCTTTGTGAGTCCAAGTCTTCCACAGGCTTTAATGAGAAGATATTTTCACATGTTGCAGTACAGAAAACGCAGATGTAAAAATAAAACGTTCCTCTGTTATAAATTGCATTTTGCAGGCCTGCAGGAACTTCAACAACTCGGGCTCCTGCGTGCCTCAGTGCCCACAAACTGTGATCTACAACAGGCTTACATATAGAATGGAGCCCAACCCCAATGCCAAGTACCAGTACGGCTCTATTTGTGTGACCCAATGCCCCAGTGAGTCCCACACATGACAATATTCACATAAACTCAGAATTTATACATAGTTTCTTCCTGTAAGATTGCTGTTTTTACATATTTTTAATCATTGTTATGACTGCGCTGTTCAGCTTTCTTCACAGTGTTTACTGAAGGCTTAACGCAGTCACTGACGATCATTTATGCATTTATTCTCATGCGTTTTCTGTTTTTTTTAATAGAAAACGTTGTGGTGGATGGCAGTTCATGTGTGAGCAACTGCCCATCTAATAAAATGGAAGTGGAGAAAAATGGTGTGAAAACATGTGAGCCCTGCAAAGGCCTCTGCCCTAAAGGTATTTCATGCAGATCGAACTCAAGCTCTCTCTACAGATACCTTACAGCTTTGCTGTTATTAACTGTTTCCTTCTCATCTTTTGATTTTTTCCCAGTTTGCCATGGCACAAGCTGGACTGATTCAAACAGCGAAACGGTCGATGCTCGCAACATAGAAAGTTTCATAAACTGCACTAAGATCCAGGGAAGTCTTAACTTCCTGGTGACGGGAATAGAAGGGTAAAAAAAACTTTCTTTCATAAAACGCAGCAAAGATTTAAAAAAATATTCTCTAGATCAACCTGCACTTTTTTGACGTTTTTGCAACATGCTTTTCCTTTTACTTACTTATTTCATTTTGGCTCAGTGATGCCTACAACAAGGTACCACCCCTTGATCCAGAAAAACTGAAAATCTTCAACACGGTGGAGGAGATTACAGGTGTGTGTATGTTGTGGGGTTGTGCTTTTTTTTTAGACCGTCACTTAGACTGCTTTTATCTTTTTATGTTATTTAATGCCATTTGCAGTCTGGTTGAGGCTTCTGAAAAACAATCTCTCTGTTTTCAGACTTCCTCAACATCCAGTCGTGGCCTGCAAGCATGTCTGACCTGTCAGTCTTCTCCAACCTCCAAACAATTCAGGGAAGAAAACTTTACAAGTGAGAAACAGTTGTTTTGTTTTTGTCTTTTCTGCATTGTTATGCAGACAGAGTATTTGCTGGAATATAAAAGTAATTTTGTTTTTATTTTCTTTGTTATTTCTAATTTTTATCCTATCTTGTTATCCTGTTTAGAGGAGTGATTAGTAAAAGGTACAGTAAAGATTTCACATGCTCACATCTCTCTATCTCCTCTTAGAGCCTACAAATGTTCTGTCCGAATCCGTGGTGTTGGTATTTTTCAGTATGATTTTTTCAGGGGTAATTCAGCACTGGGATTGTTTGGTTAAGCTGGCCGTGGGCACAACTTTTTAAAGCTGGGAGAGGCAGCATGTTTTTGACATCAATTTGACAAAGAAAAAGCTCTTTTCAGGCTGGTCTCAAGCTTCAGTAAATGAGAGGAAAGCAAGATGGGGTACATCAGAGTACTTTTACCTGGGTTTAAATCCCGTCTGAAACCAAAAGCACTAAAGCATTAAAAACAAACCGCCTTCTCAGCTTTAATGAGTTCACATATAACTAAAGAATTTACCAAAGTAGATTCTACAAAATTGATACCGCAGTATCAGTTTTGTTGTAGTATTTCCATACTACATACTACATGATGCATGAAAATACTGAAGATTAAACATGAATATGTTTGTTGGCTGTTTGTCTTTTTAAGTACACGGGTTATGCAATTTGAAAAACATGACATTCAGACACCGAATCACTGAATTCATATTGTGTCTAAAAGGTATCAAAATGAATAGATGGTGACAAACTTCTCAAAGAAAACACACTGTGAAAGATTATATTACATCATTAAATGTGATCAGTAAGAACAACAAGAAACAAAGTGCCACACTGCTGGATTTTGTGCAAATACAGCTAAAGTGCATTAATTGTGTTTGTAAACCTTAAAAAATAATGTCTGACATCATGTTCTTGAAAACTGCTAAACCTAAAAGAAATATGGCTTTCAATATTCACTTTGATTTTGTGGTATTTTAAACAAAATTGGAACATTTTCATCCACTTTCTGACCTTTATTTACTTCCTGCTGTTCTACAGGAGCTATGCACTCATGGTGGTTAAGATCAATTCTCTGACCTCGCTGGGGTTGCGCTCGCTACAAAACATAAATGATGGTGCCGTGTACATTAAAGGAAACAAGAATCTCTGCTATCATGATACTGTCAACTGGACACGGCTTTTAGGCTCCCGTCCACAGAAACGTTCAAAGCTCTTAGTCATGGCCAACAACCAAAAGAAGGGTGAATGTGGTGAGTGGGGGCGGACCATTTAAAACTTGCAAGACGTGATTGTGAACAATGGCTCTGCTCATAACATCGTTTCTGTTTTGGTTGCGTCCTTAGTTAAAGAGAAGCATGTGTGTCACCCGCTGTGCTCCTCTGATGGCTGCTGGGGTCCGGGTCCAGACCAGTGTGTCAGCTGAAAGAAATACAGCAGGGGAGGAACCTGTGTACCAGACTGCATGTTCTTAACTGGGTCAGTATTCACAAAATGACGTATAAAGCGATTATTAATATAAAGCTTTAACGGTGTAACATGTATGCAGGTTGTTAGAGAGTGAATGACAAGAAGGAGTGGTATTAAAGAAACAAGCAGTGATTTAGAGAATTGATATTTTCTGATGGTTTCAAAAAGAATTTACATTTTAAAGCACAAATACTCGCATCCTGTTTGAAGTGCCACATTGCAAATAGATTATGTGCAAATACAGATAAAGTACATGCTTAATCGTATCCACCGTGCTCTCTGTGCACAAATCAGCAGGGGAGACAAATTGAATAACTGATTCAAATGCATTGCTGCCCAATTCTAGTGTGTTATAAACAATTTTCCCTCTAAACTGCGCGCGTGCAGTCTCTGCGCACAGAAATATGCGTTGCGCACAAAAAAAAAATCTAACCTGAATTGAAATTAAAATTAAAATGTTAACAATTTTTGTTTTGCAGTGTTAGTCAGTAAGTGACTGGCTGCTCCTGTATGGGATTAGAACGATGCCAACCTTATCCCGTAGTTCAGCCAATAATGCGATTCACATTTGTATATACGCAGCTAATCAACGTCGTTGACAGGCTATGACAGCGTCCTTGTGTGCCGACACCGGTAGCAAAGCGACGTGGCTGATGTGGAGTGAAGCCACGTTAATGACAACGTGTACAACCATTGGAGATGTGAGCAGGACAGACGGCACAAATGACGGAAAAGTGTGGACTTTATACCAGTTTTTAAATTGTGTTGATAAGCCACGTAAAACCAGACTTATGATAAAAATATATGTAATGTTTGGTTTTCTTCCTGAATACTATCGTTGTTTATATTTACTGCAGGAAGAAACGGTAAAAACAGCGTTTTATAAAGAAAACCTCGAAAGCACTCTCCGCCTGTGAGTGAAAAAACAAAACAGGAAAAAAAACCCCACCCTTTCCTATTGGTCGAACAATGTACCATGTCGACCAATCAAAAAATGATATGGCAACCTGGCATTTAGTTGTTTAGGAAAGGGTGGCGGTGTTTTTGAGACGTGAGAGATTCGCGATGTTTAGCGCAAATCTTGTGTAGTTAGTGTGCAGCGACTGCTGAATGTTACAGGTGTTACAGGAGTGATACATCTCCTGTTGTCAGGCCTGCAGGTATCAAGCTGTTGTTCTTCTTTATCTCATAGTGGACAGAAATGTTTTTTTGGAGTGGCACAAATAATTTGTGTGGCATCAAATTTGATGCAGAACACCTGATTGTTCTGTAAATAGTTTAAAATGTTTATTTTAACAAAAAAAAAAAACCCCGCCTTGGCTGCATTTTTAGGTAAACGGCTGCAAAAAACATATTGCATGACTCAGTTACTTTTTTGAAGAAGTAACTATATAATTAATTGCCCAACATTGGTCATTATATTGTTCTGAAGGCAGGACTGTGATGCAGTTTTCTGCCTCGCCATTAGAGGGCGCGGCCGTTTTGTGAGTAATGTTTTGACTGGGATGAAAAATGGTGTTCATGGAGGCGGTGTGAATCACAAGTTATGCTCGGGAGCAGTTTATGTGGGTTCATTGAGAGTGTGCGTCCATAAGACTGGTGAGTTTCAGGATATTTCTTGTGTAAGAAGGATAGCCTGTATGTTTATCACTCTGGACATCCTTTGTTTGTACATTTTCTATACATTTTCTTATTTTCTATAAGTTATCGCTAAGCTAAGCGCGCTAAGCTAAGCAAAGTTCGCCTAGGCCATACTGAGTTCGGTTTCAGTTGGTGATTTGTTATGTGTATTTGCCTTCTTTAGTTGGCATCATAAGTGAGTGGGGCGCAAGAGTTAAGTGATGGAAAGATGTTTATTTTCTTTGTTGCCAAATATGGTTCAGACTATAAGTAAAAGCCGCCAGCTTAGTAGTAGGGCCTATAAGACAAGTATGTGGCTGTAATATATTATATTGTGATTATTGTTGTCTATAATTTGATTGTAATTTGTGTTCTGTTTTTCCATTCTGTTTGTAGAACCACACACACACACACATATACCCACGCCCACGCTAAATCTGCCATTAAAGAGTTGAACAATCATCCCCTGTCCTCATTATTTTCTGGAGGGTCATAGTGGCACTTGACCTGTGCACACCCTGCAATCACCACCGTAGAACTGAACCTCATATCAGAAATCATCATAACAAAATTGGTCCTTCGAGCCGGATCAGGTGATTACAGAGTGAAGATGGATTATGACCCCCAGAGAGCAGGTGCACGTCCATGGAGGGCTGTGCGACCTCCAGGATGGATGACTCAGTATGAAGGCTACACACTGCCACAACTGCTACATTGGAGCAACAGCAGACTAGAGAAGGATACGCCAAGATGACGCCCCTCACCCAGACTCCTGGTTCTATTGGAGCTGCAGGACAGACCCCAGTGTCATCCAGCATCCCTCAGGAGTTCATGAACATTGTGCAGCAACTGCAGGAGGACAACAGGCAACTTCAGCTGATGGTAGGAGACATGAGGAGGCAGATGGACCGTAATGTCACCACGTTGGAACCAACCTGCTTACGTTCTGCCCAGCAACCAGGGGGCTACATTTCAGCTGATGACACTTGGGTCTCCACACCTCTAACTACACAGCCTTTTCCCCTGAGACCAGAGCAGCACAATATATCCTACACACAGGATGCAGCTGAAGAATGGCCAGTACCACCACCTCCAGTTTTTCTCCCGAGAGATCATTCTGATCTACCAGAGGTACAGTCTTTTCCACCTCCACGGCTACCAGCCATTGCACAAGAGCATAGCCAACGCTTACAAGAGCTACAGTTACAGCAACCCTCAGCCACTGAAGCTCCTGACTTTCAGCCTTGTGCACCACAGTCCACCCCCTTATCTCGATCACTAGCTGGACCTAGTTTCGACGCGAACATGCTCCCCCCAGAACAAGTGTTGGCTCCCACTACAGCTGTAGCTGTAAAGGAGAAGACCTACAGAGGACCATCGCCCTCCATCCCAGAGTTCACGAAGGGTGATCCCAGGCAGTTTGCTAGATTAAGGCTTGCCCTAGACAATATTCTCCCCTTTGATGCAACCGAGAGGTTCAAATATCAGGTCTTATGTGACCACCTTAAGTTTGAGGAAGCTCTTTTAATTGCTGACTCCTACAGTAACTCACCTCACCCCTACTCTGACACGATGGCCTCGCTCACTAAACATTACCGTCAGCCGCACCAGCTGTCACTGCAGAGGATAGCAAAGCTTATGGATGAGCCCAGCATCCGCCCAGGTGACACAACTGGATTCAGAAGGTTTGCACTGAGAGTCCGTGCTCTGGTCGGCATGTTAGAGCAACTTGGGGAAGATGGACACATAGAGCTGCAATGCGGGTCTCATGTTGCTAGACTGACACGAAAGCTACCCCAAGACCTACGTGCTGCTTTCCGCCGCTACCTTTACCCACAGAAAGATGGAATACCATCATTGAGAGACTTTGCAGAGTGGCTGGAGTATGAGCTGGTCATTCAAGAGGGCGGAGATCACACAGAGAAGGTAGAGGAGAGCTCGAGAGACAGGAGCAGCATGAAAAGAGATAAAAGAGCCACCAAAAGGACTACCACCGTGCTGCACGGTGCAACACACAACACTGCCCCCCAAAGGTCCTCAGCCACAACCCCTTACACTTCTGAGGTCCAAGACAAGCCCACAGCTTATTGTCCATATTGTAATAACACTCTGCACTTCCTAGATCAATGTGTCAACTTCAAGATGCTGACTAAAGAGCAGAAATCAACTTGGATTAAGTCCAACAATCGCTGCTGGTGTTGTGGGCGGCACCACCAGGCCGCTCAGTGTCGACTTAAAATGCAGTGTAAGGCATGCAGGGGAAAACACCTAGAGGCCCTCCATGAAGTGAATCTCAGACCTGCTGCACCCAATCCACCAATGGAACACGTCGCTGTGCTTCTGAAGATAACCAAAGTGCTCCTGCAGAACGGTGAGCACACCCTGGAGACATTCGCCATATTGGATGATGGATCTGAGAGGACGATCCTTCTCCCTGAGGCCACTCAAAGACTGCAGTTACAGGGCATGGCAGAGAGTCTTACTCTACGTATGGTGAGACAAGGATTGAGAACCTTGCATGGTGCATCAGTGACAGTCAAAGTGTCCCCTGCCAGCCAACCATCCAGAACATTCACCATTGAGAGAACCTTCACAGCTGATGACCTAGGCTTGGCTGAGCATTCATACCCCGTGAAAGCACTTCAACAGAAATATAGACACTTGAGAAGGCTTCCCTTGCAGCCCTTCACAAATGCCCAGCCACTCCTTCTGATCGGCTCTGACTGTCCTCACCTAGTAACGCCCATCAAACCTGTGCGCCTAGGCTTACCTGGAGGACCAGCTGCAGTCAAGACTAGACTTGGTTGGGTACTACAGGGACCAATTGTTAACTTGTTATTTTCTGTTTTATCGCGAGAGTACTGTTGCCCGCGAAGTGTTGTTGTTGTGGTGGGTATAAAAAATGGCAGAACGAATAAAGCGCTGTGAATGAGAGTACGACGTCGTGTCTTTTGAGTTAACATTGGTAGCAGAGGATGGTTTCCAATTACAAAGTACCACCAAAGCTTGATGAAGCCAGGCCATACGAATGCTGGAAGAATGAAGTCAATATCTGGAGACGAGTTACGGAGCTGGATAAAAAGAAACAGTCACTCGCGGTGGCGCTGGGGCTCGAGGGAAGAGCCAGAGAAACGGCCATGGAGATACCCGCGGAAGATTTGGACAAAGATGACGGTATGGAAATACTACTTGCAAAACTTGACGCGGTGTTTCAGAGAGAAGAGAAAGACCGCGCTTATGAAGCCTACTCGTGTTTTGACTCCATTGCAAAGAACCACAGCATGTCGATGGCAGACTACATTATAGACTTTGAACAGCGTTATAACCGGATGAAAAAGTACAACATGACGCTGCCTGACGCTGTGCTAGCATTTAAGCTTCTAGATACA